TAATATAACTCTGATTGGATTCGTCTGAAAGAAGAAAGTCACATACACCTAGGATGCGTCGAGGGTCAGTAAAACACAGGCTAATTTTCATTTTTGGGTGAACTAACTCTTTAAGGTCTGTAAACCCCTCCCTTCCATAAGCCTACTCTCCTCTGATTGGTCAGCTGGCCAAGTCCGTTGTGATTGGTCTTTCCGTATACAATGCATGTTGGAAAACGAAACGCCCATTACCATAATTAATTTTTTGCTCCGGAGGGTTACTTGTAAACAAAGATGCTAAAAGGTTACAAAAATGACATCGATATTACCATATCAATTCAAGCCCGAGTCCGAGGATGATTCCGATGCAGTCGCTCAAACGGAAACTCCATCGCAAGCTCAACTTGATCAGGAAGTTTCTCAGTGGTAAGTTTAAACTTTGTATGTGGTACTTTACGTGATGTGACAGCTGTGTTAGAATGCCCAGTGAGGCTGAAAACACAGCGTCTTCTCGACATGATGTAAACACACTAACTAGCGGAAATGTTTGTGGGCAGGTCAGACTGTTCGTATTTCGCAGGCAGGCAGGGATTATGCAAATGTGACATATATAGGTAACAGGCAGAAGATTCGAAAATATAACGACTCGTTAAGGCGGTTCAGAGTCAACAATATCTTTATTTATCATGCATTTTTTTTGATTAACAACTTTGCAGACTGTTTATATTGAAGGATAGCTACGTTACAAACTGCAAAAAATGTATTTTTCGAAAACCCATTATGACCTGCTCTTTAAGAATTACATTTTACATTTCAGTATACGATAGTAATATATTTCTGACATAATTTCTTCAAGTTAAATTGAACTTTTATTTTTTAACTTTTTACATTTCTGGCTCCATTGGGCTTCTCCCTCCCTCCAGCTCCACCTTGGTCCTCTGTCGCTCCAGCTCCACTGCGGCCTTCCGGATCCCTGCCTATGTCTCGGTCGCCTGAGCCATCTGCTCCGCCTTGGCCCTCCGGTTCCTCCTCATCGCCCTAGCTCTGCGGCTCTCCGTCTCTATCCCACCTGCTCCGCCGCTGTCAGTCAGCCCTCTGGAGTCGTCAGCCCTTCCTCCACCATGGCTCCTCCCTCCATTGGCTCCACCATGGGCTGCCTTCCTGGCTGCTGTCTGGGTCCCGCCTAGCTCCTCCTGCTCCGGCTCTCTCCTGTCTTCTCCCTGGCTCCTCCCTCCGTCTGATCCGCCATGGTCCCTCCTGTCTCCTCCTTGGCTCCTCCCTCCGTCAGATCCACCCTGGTCATCTGCCTGCCTCCCTTCTCCTGACCCTCGCCCTCCTCCTGAACCCCCGCCCTCCCTCCACTTTTAGTCCATCTACGGCGCGAGGCTGCGCCTTCCGGGAGGGGGGAGTTGTCACAATATGGACCTTGTTTCTGTTCTCCTGTTTTGTTTCTTGACCAGGGGTGCGTCTCAATCAGCTCCCTTATTCAGTAGTCAGGGCACTGATCAGGGAGTCGGCCATTTTAAGGGCTGTCTCAATTGCGAAATGTCTCAATAGCGAAACGTTCGCTCCCTGAAAAATCCCACAATGCACTGCAAAAACTAGTGAGCATCAGCGCTCACTATGCGCCCTTACCGGAAATAACGTCACATTTCTGAAGCGTGAAACATAAAACACACGAGCCAATTCGATAAATATAATGATACGCGATAGAATATCAAAACCATTTTTAGTATATTTCAATATAAACACACATCGCTAGACAGGAATTGAACACATCTAATTAACATTTATAATTAATATTCGGCTGAAATGTTGTAAGAACATGTAACAGAACGATGTGTTTAAAGAGAATAAAAAATAATATAAAAATTAGATTGGTCCTGCGGCTGCCTGTTGTTTATTAATTCCAGTGATGACATACTACTATGTTGTCCGTTGACATTGTACGTAATCATGTCACTGGAATTCGAGTGATCACTGTCCCAACTTGCAGTGAGTCAGGGAACTTACCAGTGAACAAATTCGTGTCCACAATCTACTGATTCACGAGCTAGGGAGCTGATTGAGACGCACCCCTAGTTCCCTTGATTAGTTCATTCTGTTCACCTGTGTTCGATAATTATTTGGTCTGCGTATTTAAGTTGCTCCCTTTCAGTTCTTCCTGGCTGGTTATTGTTTATTGTTATGTGTGCTTCTTGTGTTTCCTTATGTGTTTTTGGATCTCCCTCTACTCCTGGGATTATAATTAAAGAATATTTAATTCTACTCCATGTTCGCCTATCTCACACATTTATTGACATACATTTTATGGCGATATTATTATTATTATTTTTTATTTATTATTTTCTTTAATTACACAGCCCTAGAACTATCTTATTATTTTTAACCAACTAGTGATTCTAGCAGATGTTTGAAGACAGTTCCCTTTATATTCGCACAGGTGTCCTAGAAAAATAACTGCAGATCTAGTTCACGACATTAATCATGAACATAACCCACAAACAACCAGAAAGCATCCAAATATATTTTTGAACCATCTATCTTTGGGCTCTATTTCTTTATATAAATGCCACTTTGTGTGATATTTTGTTATATGATTCAGTATCATTCATATAATTTAAGTGTGACGTAGATGTGCAATTATATTTTGGTGCCACTGGATATACAACAAAAAAGAGATAGAGAGTCATTTTTCTAAAAGCATTGTTAAAGAATAACATGATGCCTAACTCCTCTACCACTTGAGATTTTTAATTAAAAGAGACTGATCCTGCTGCTGTGGATATTGTGAGGTAGGACGGTGCCTTCTTGATTAAAGGTTTAACTGGGGGCTGTGGTGGTTCCAAAGGTGTAAGTTCCTCACCACAAGAGGGACCTGAAAAAACACCTTGTTTCCTGTGCAATGGAAAAAGTCCTCAAGGGGCTTGTGTTTGATGTGCACCTGATCCACTCAACATATAGGCTATAATGTCTCTGCAATGGCTCTTCACTAGATAAGACTGAATTATAATGTTTTGGTTGCTTTGTCTTTATTTGATTGCTAATATTCACTGTACCTAAGAAAACCCTTGCATGAATAACAATTCTCATATACTGTGTATATCATTCTACATTGACTTTCTCACCAGGTCAAGTGTGGTTTTCTCCAGCACATCCACCAGCTTCTCCAGCTTTGTGTTGGCAGTAAAAATAAAGTCATCATCCACCCATAGCACATATTTGGTGGTGACCTGTGACACGGCCAGATTACGACCAGCAAACCAGCCCTGAAATATAGACATACATATTCAGAACCCATCATACTGCATGTAAACACAGACAGAAATGTGTCATCAACTCAACAAAGTGACCCACCTTTCCGAAGGGCATGATGTAATGTTCAATATATGGGCCTGATACTGTTTTCGGGTGCTCACTGTCATCTGCTATCACTATTGTAACTGTTGGATAGTACTGTCGTATGCTGTCAATTAAATCCTGGAGCTTGTCATAGCGCAGGAAGGTTTTAGTTGCTATGGTCACGAGAGCACTGATGTTATACTCTGAAATCGAGCAAACAGAAAGTCAAATGTAAATGGAAACATGTGGCTTTAATTTCCTTACAATATAAATAACAAATAACACTAAAATCACAGAATGAATGATTGTTTTGCCATGAGCAAGGGTAAATGTGCTGACACATCTAATATACAAAGAATAAATTGAATTGTAGCAGCATACAATAGCTTGCGCAGGAAGGTTTTAGTTGCTATGGTCACGAGAGCACTGATGTTATACTCTGAAATCGAGCAAACAGAAAGTCAAATGTAAATGGAAACATGTGGCTTTAATTTCCTTACAATATAAATAACAAATAACACTAAAATCACAGAATGAATGATTGTTTTGCCATGAGCAAGGGTAAATGTGCTGACACATCTAATATACAAAGAATAAATTGTTTAAATTGCTTACTACATTATTGTTGATTGAAGCACCGGAACCACTTTCGGTACTCTGAACATAACTGTTGGCTGATATTAAAATATGTAATTCTCTTGGCTTGCATTATAAGTACATTTCTAGTGTAGAATATCCTTTAGTATAATTTTGCCTCATACTGAGAAAACAAACACATACAAATTAGGGCTGCACGATATATCGTTTCTGCATCGATATCGCGATGTGCGCATCCGCGATAGTCACATCGCGGGATGTGCGATGTTTAGTATACTGATCGTTATATCTATACTGATTGTTTTCTTTGCTCACACACAGACACGGTGTCTACACCGGAAGCGACAGCTGTACAGAGATACCCATTTTAAATAAATTTAGTAGCGGAGCTACTGCATGCGATTTTCAGTGCTGGAAATCCGTTTATCCTTTGTTGAAACTTCCGCGTCGTCGTGGAGAGCGCAGGTCATGGTCGCTTAGCAACGGCAGACGCTACGAAAGCGCAAGCTCATGAGCGCTTTGGAAAGAAGGAGAAAGCGGTGCGACTGGCGATTGGTTCACAGCAGTTTAATGTTCCTGTTGCTTTCTCTGTCATGAACGTTAATCAAACAACAAAACATAAAGAAAAATCACTTTTGTAGCTTTAACACAGATTTGTTAGATTTAATTTATAATGAAAACTATGCATTGTTATTTTACATTTGATTATTCAATTTCTGTACCTGAATACTGTTAGACTTACCTGAAAAATATAAAGCACTGCTTATTTCATTTGTATCTTTGTTCTGTTATTTATCTATGCTTGTAATTTGTTTATTTCCTATGCTGATTTACTCGCCTACAAAAATCACCCCAATCATTGATTATTTTTTTTCCAAATATAGAGCTATTGAAGTCATCTGATTTTTTTTCATATTGCAGAAAAAAAATATATCGCAATGTGAGTTTTTTCCAATATCGTGCAGCCCTAATTTAAATTTAAATTATGAATTTCATTTCATAATTTACATTGAAATGATATATTTATTATGTATGCATTTCTTCTTCAAAAATACTAAAAGAAATGGATGCGTACGAATTTACGAATCAATATAGAGTACGAATCATTAAATTACT